CGCTTGCTTCTGCTTCACAACATTCTACGCGTCAGTATAACATCCATCTTGCCACTTTGTGGTTATTGGAATGCCTACCGATATTACTAATGTCATACACAGAGTACTTTCCTTGAAAAGCAAGCTTGACGACGTGTTGTCACGGCTAGCCAGCATGGTTTTGTTTTCCACCAGAAGCGAAGCTTGAGCCGTTGTGCCGCACCGAAAGTCGACTCTCCCTTCACGGCCTCCGGTCCCTCATGCCCTGCACTGCTGCGTCTGCGCTGGTGGGCTCTGTATGCCGTCTGGCAGGTCGCGTGCGACGCCTGTTGCACTCCGGCGTCTCCAGAGCCTTGACATGCACCTCACGCTCTGCCCCCAGGGATCCAAGACTAAGGATGGATAACATAATGTCGCACTGAGCCCGAGCGGCGTGCGACTAGGCGTTGGCCGCGGCGAGCAGAGCAGCGGGGAGCGAGCTGGGGCGCGGCGACCTCGCAAAGCGCCCGCCGGGGCCGACCGGCCGCCCGTCCGTCCCCAGCCCCGTCTTTCACCGGGAGAGGCCGCGGGCCGCCGCCACGGCAGCTGAACCGTCCGCAACAAACCCACACTCATATCAACAGCCTTCAAACAGTGGCGAGGTCCGCCGGCGACAATGGTGGCCCAGACGGCAGTGGCGCAACGCAGCCGCGCCGCTCGATGTATGTGTGGGGGAAATATTTAGCATGTTGTCCCCCATCTTTAGCGTCATTTTCATTGGCCCTGCGTTTCGTGGTCGCCATTGCTCTTTGCCGCGGGAGTTGGCATCTTGCGCGTGCCCCGAACCGGCCGATTCCGTTGACATTCCAGCTGGCGGAGGTGGAGTTGCCAGTCACTCGGTTCACTGCTGAGACGTCGGCTCCGTGACAGTGGCGCAGCCGGACGGTGAAGAATGCAACCTGTGAATCTCCGAATAATCTGTAGGTGTCGCTAGTTCCTCGCTGTACTCTCAGTACGTTTGCTGTTCGGTGTTAGACCCTCGAGCTTGGAGCGTGTCAGACTTGTTGCGCAGTGAATGGGAGGTCGGCTGACTCTCTTCCATAAGCTCAGAAACCCAGGAAGCCTACAAGGGTGAGTTGATGACGTCACGTCGTGAAGAGCCCCGCCTCTGTCCACGCCCGTAAGCAATACGCCCCGGCAATAGCTGTCTTACCTGAGAGGCTATCGGGAAAAGCATTTGTCGACCGCCGCGAGACATCAACTGGGGCTCCACGCGTTAAGGCCTACATGGCCACTCAACAGTGCGGAGTCTGCGCGGAAAGGCTCACACGAATAAGCTCATATTAACGGTCACATGGATAGGTTCACCTGGGAAGGTTCACATTGAAAGGCTCACTCGGGAAGGGTCGCGTGGGGAACGCTGTTGGGGCGGGTGACGCAGGTCGTCCGCGGATCCGCGCCGCCGGGGTCGCCCGTGCTAGCAGAGTTTGCTGTGAGATGCGACCTGCTCGCCTTCTTATTCCGTCCACTTTGTCCGGCTGCAGCTCAAGTCTGCGCCGGTGGCGCCGCGTGGCGGGGCGCGGCGAACCGCTCGGCCGGCCGCGCTGTGATAGCCGCCTGGCGCCGCCCGGCGCCGCGGCCGCCCCAGCACGGTCCGCCCAGCGCACAGCCCATCGACGTCGATTGCCTTACAACTTTATATCATGGTCTGGTCGAGAGCGCCTATGGATGTTGATGTTGTTTGTAATTTGCTAGCTATATCCGATGTAGGCTTTGCTGAGCGCGAGCGACGCGGGGTCGCGGCTGTCGCGAGGCGATGACAACAGGACATATCAGAGGTTTCCATCCATGGGTGAGCACGGACGTGTGCAATGTCATGTCTCCCGCCGCGTTGTCGAATAGCTTCCCCGCGAAATGTGGCTGCTGTCGTAGCCCGGAAGCCACCCCAGAAAAGCGCCGCGGAAACGATGCGCGGTGCGTTGTCATTATATTCCGGAAAAGAGACGCCTGGGGCTAGTTTAAAACGTGTAGCAACGTTGAAAAAGGCCTTTGGACGAGCAAATTGGTGCATATCAGCTATTCTGTCCTGTCACCTTTGACAAACTCGTGTGTAGGCGTATATCGTAGTTAGTGCGTTGAAAGCTATATAAACAGTGGCCAGGTGTAATGTTATGGACGACATTGAGCTATTCAAGACCTCCGTCCCTCTGTGGTGGCTATGTAGTACTGTAATACTGGCGGGTATCGGAATGTTCCTGGCCTTTTTCAACCGCAATCATTTCTTGACATGCGTGGGTGCTGTGTGGCACACGCTGATTCTATGCGATGTCCTTGCCTGTTACGGCAAGGGAGCATTTTCCCCATCTCTGGACGTCCTTAGCTTCGGTGTTTTTTTTCTGTTTAGTTTCTTAAGACTGCGTCTATGTTTCTTGACTAGCTCGGTCTTCCGCCATCCTCGTAGAGCCAGTATGTCACAGCCAGCACAGAGGGCGCTCCACATTTGAGTGATGGTGTCAGCGCCGTCCGATCGGCGGGCCTTGTACATATGTAGGACATTTAGGGTAATGTAAGGTTTCATTGTTCGGAGCGAGACAATGGCGGTCTCGGAAGCTACGTCCCAAAGAGTTTATGTTAATAGTCATTTGACGTCAGGTTCATAGGCGGCGCCACAGGCAGCCTTGGGCGCATTTAGGTTCACTTGTTGATTACACACTGAAATGACAGCCCTTTAGGCTTTATTCGTATTATTTATTTTCGTAGACAGTGCGGACGATGATATTATAAGTGGTTGCGCTGCGCGGTCAGGCAGTGTCGGCCCGGCATTGGGCGGGTTCGGTCATCACCGGGTGATCCCAGGCGTCCCGTCACAACAGCTGGTTGGCCTGGCTGCTACCTGTCGGCTGAGCTCTACTACCCGAGCAGCCCCTCCCCCGGTCAGATGAGGCGCCCAGCTACGGTCGGGCCCCAACGGAGCCGCGGGGCGCTCGGGGTCACTGACCTGCACTCAGGCGGACCACGCGAAGTTACCGACGAGTCTCCTGGCCAGGTCGGCGCACCGTGCGGATCAGCAGCCGTGTGCACGGTGTCGACAGAGGCGCTCCGCTCGTGCGGCCGATCGGCGGTACCCCTCTGTCGCGGTCCCTGCGTCCGGGCCCGGGCGCTGGCCCCGGCCACTCGGGTCCCGCCGTCATCAGCACTCGGCGCCGGTGCCCTGTCTGCTGTGTTGTGATCGCGTCAGTGACCGCCGTTCCCCGTCGCACGGCAAGCGAGGGCGGCAGCGTCCCTGACGTCAGGGACGCGGCGATCTGTTCATCGTAGGCTCCTTTGTAACAGGCTTCTCCCTACTGTGTCTGGGTTAAATTATTTGACCATGTTCTAGCGCGTTAGCCTAGTCACTGTGAGTCTGCTTGTGTATAGTAGGCTGTTTCTGCTGCTAGTTTTGTCACGGGGTCCAAGACGCGCGAACGACGCCTGAATAAATCGCCAAAAAAAACATGTGGGCGTTTGCAATAAACATCGGGGTCTGCAAGATGGGAGGACGAGTCCAGATGGCAATGACCTGGTTCGAGTAGGGTTCTTAGCGTCATCGCAAGTTTCTTATAATATAAATACGTGCTGTATTAACAAAGATAAATATAACCAAAAGATTGAAAATGGCTGGCTAGTGTAATGACGCCGGCCTGACGTAAAGAAACAGATATAAATGGTTTACAACCAACAAACATGAAGCAACTTTGCGTACGCACTTCTACGAACAATATGCAAGCCCGCGAATGTGAATGAGGACGAGTGAACGAACTTGAGAACTGAACTTAAACCCGCGCAGCAAACGCCGTCAATGACAGGACACAGTGACACTTTATTCTACAACAGACACGAATGACAGATCATATAACACCCATGATTGTGTATAGATTCGAAGAGCATCACGAACATGACCTAAGCGCTCAGTAACAGTAACGCAGCCATACTTGGCACAATGGGAAGAGCAGGGAAACCTGACTAGCTACTTCTCACACGCGCTGGACACGACGCCGTGTGGTCGCTAATACTGACTGACTAGACGTCCCCGGTACACTCCACCAGTGAGAAACAGAGCCAGCGTCACCGTCACAGACACCGCCTGGTATCACTCCATGACCCGGTACCACTCCGTGACCTGGCACCACTCCGTGACCTGGCAACACTCCTGGCGGCACTCCGTGACCCGCTACCACTCCGTGACCTGGCACCCCTCCGTGACCTGGCAGCACTCCGTGACCTGGCAACACCTCTGGCACCTGGCAGCACTCCATGATCCGGTACCACTCCGTAACCTGGCGCCATTTCGCGGTCTGGCACCACTCCATGACCTGGCATTACTCCGTGACCTGGCACCATTCCGTGACCTGACACCACCTCGGGACCTGGCAGCACTCCGTGACCTGGCAACACTCCGTGACCTGGCAACACTTCTGGCACCTGGCAGCACTCCATGACCCGGAACCACTCCGTGACTTTGCACCACTTCGCGGCCTGGCGCCACTCAATGACCTGGCACTACTCCGCGACCTGGCACCACTCTGTGACCTTACATTCACGGCAAGGCCGACTCGGGTGCCAGCAAGGTCACTAAAAAAGGACACTTGCAGTCCAATGGATGAATGATGATAACAGGAGAGGACGCGATACACGCCGTCACATTGATAAATGTGACAAGGACGTAGAAAAATCACCACAACCGATGCCAACATCTACCTCTGAGTATGGTCCAGTGAACACAACCACCGAACCACAGACGCCAAGAGCAGCCCGGCCATTTCAAAACGGATGCACGTCGTAACGGGTCCTGTAACCACACAAAAGGACAGAACATTTGGAACGAGACCACCATGTCAGTTAACCGTGCTCGTGAGGCATTTGGCTACATGACTCAAAGGTCTGGCCTTTGATGAGCGAGCCACCGCGTGAGACCTGTAGAAGCAACAACACGCCATTCTCATTTGATAATTCGTCACAGAAGCATTGAATACGCACAACTTGCACCGGACTTAACTTGAGTGCGAGTGAGTGGCAACCCACGTCCAAATTGACTGGGGACACTTCTCTCTTCAGCGTCACAATATATCCAACTTTTAGCACCGACCTAAAACAATTCCCTCTCACGTCATCCCACACGTAACAGCACTACCTCAGCGGGAGCGCGTGGTCAGGTGACCTGTGACGCACGGCCGTCAGCTGGCCGGACGTGCGCCGCAGTCATCACACCGACGTGGTCATCTCGTCGATCACACTCATCTCGTTCTGCGGCCGCCACTGCGCGCCGTTGCGCAGTATTGAGCCCCTGGGGCCGAGCGGCGGCGGCGGCGGTGGAGGCGGCGGCGGCGGCGGCGGCGGGCGGCGGGCCTCCTCCTCCAGCCGCACGGCGCCCAGTCTGCCGAGGAACTCCGGCTCACTAACGCTGACCGCGCCGGACAGCTGCAACGGCCGCGCCAGGAACACCGACTCGCCCGGCCGGCCCAGCGAGCGCTCCGTGTGCAGCAGGAAGTTCTCCACCTTATCGCAGCTGGTGATGCAGTCGCCGGGGAAGTAGTAGCTGTAGTTGTCCAGCTGGTCCAGCAGGCCCTCCTCCGAGATACACGTCAGTCCGTCTGGCACGCGCTCCAGCAGCGCCCCGTCGTCTAGCACGTCCACCGAGTTGGCGAACGAGATTGACTTGCCGACGCGCTGCAGTGGCGGCGCCCGGCCGAAGGCTCCCGACGAGTGGGCGCTGCCCTCCTCCGGCGGGAAGGCGCAGGTGCACACCTTGTGTGCGCTGTCATGCTCCACCGACAGCTGGCACGCGTCGTGACCCGACGACAGCTGACTGTCGACGGTCGTGTACGACAGCGACGTGTCCATCTTCTTCAGCTTGTTGCGGTACAAGTTCATCATGAAGAAGACGCACGCGCTGAGCAGGACCATCACACTCGAAAAGTAGTAGCCGGCCTTCGGGCTCCGACGGTTGATGTAGCCTGAAGCGGGCAGCGGCGTGGTCTTAAAGCGCCGACGTTCAGAGACAAGAGTGATCCGGACATATAGCCAGACTGTGCTGACCCCGTAGCTGGTTTGGGCATCGCTGCTGCTCGTGAGCATTAAACTACCAACGACAGCAGCAGGACTGACAGCCGGGTACAAGGAAAGGTCCACCTGTGCCCGTACACCGTGCCGTCTGCCATGTGACACCCGTGTACCATTTCCAAAGCTGCAGCGCGTATTTGGGGTAGTCCCGCAGGTATTTCACTACTTGACGGATATAAATTTCTAGTGTACTCTGAAGTATGTATGCCCAAATTACGTCAGGTCATTGGCCGGGTCTGACATTAGTGCGCGGTGCAATCAAGTGTGGCACCATTCTGTCCTGTTGTTAGCTTTTGCAGACGTAGGCCTTTCGTTTGATTTGCAAGTGATATGGATATAATCATGTGTCGAAAGCCAAGCTCGACCTTTCGGTCGGCTTTGTTTAGTTTTTAGCGGGACATGGCCACCGGGTCATTGGCAAGCGGTATCCTAATTTCAGAACGGAAACCGATGAGCACGCAGCCTTGGAAAGGTCACAGAGGCCCACATCTATCTAGCAGTGTTTCATGCATCCAGCTCTATTCAGTCCTGAGATAGTCGTAAATAGTTCAAAACTACTCCACTGTCGTCTATAAGCTGGAGCTGAGGCTCGCCCGCGAGGGGATCACACGGCCCATTGCTCCGCTGCCCGGCGTCGAGCACTTACGGGCGGAACGGCCTCAAATAAAGCGGAATAAAGGACTCAAATGGCCTTAAAATAAATCCCAACCAATCGCATGCAGAATGAATAGCGCTCAACAGCTTATCGGGCGGTGACGTCACTGGTGTTGGCATCGATTGAGCATGTGGCGCAGAGGCGCCGACTGGACGGCCTCGCTCGGGTCTCACCGGTGATGGGCGCCGCCACCAGGCAGCTGAGGGAGGCAGCCGCCTGCACCAGCGCCCAGGCGCGGCTGAAGTTGCGCGCTCGCACGCGCTCGAACGTGTACACCTTGATGGCGTACCGGTAGCCGCCCAGCAGGACACCGTACAGCCAGGTGAAGAGCACGTAGCCGTGATAGCCTTCGATCACAGCCAGGGCGAGCAGGCTGATGCCTGCGGAACGGCGGGGAGGGGGAGGTGGTCAAGCTTCATCAAGCAGTAGGTGCAAGGGAGAGAGGGCTCGGAGCTTGTAATGATTCAGGTTCATGAAGTTGTAATCCAAATGAATCCGCAAAAATCAGACAAGCCGGTCGATCGACATCACATGAAGTGTTGGCGACCAGCGAAATAATTGTAAAGCGCTCGCCCCAGATCCTACGCTGGGATTAGACAATATCTTGAATTCATGTGCTGTACTGATGAACAAACAAAAACAAACCGTGGTCACCCTCTATTTTATTTACTAATTTTGGGAGAAAATCTGTTGCCTTCAACGAGAGACGCACGGGAGGGGGCAGGTAGAGGAAAAAGCGGACCTGATGGCAGCACAGTTTACAAACAGTGCGCCAGCCTCCGACGAACTCAGTCATTAAGCCTTGATTACTGACAAATGTGCGGGTGAAAGAACTCAGACAAAACAGGGAAGCAAAAAATGACCCTTGAGGGAAACAAAGGCACAGCGTTGGAACGCTGCCCCGCAAGAGAAATGATCCTCTCGACAAAGAAGACAAAGACCGGACGACAACATAGGGCGGACTCTGGCGTCGTTCGGGTTTGCGGTCCCGCTTCGGGCCTCAGCATGGGGTAAGTCATCAAGCCAGGGCACTTGTGCTGCGTCAGATACGAGACGTCAGCTGCTGGATGTGACGGAGACTCGTCACGAAGCTGTGACGCTCCGCGGCTCGGCTCACTGTGACTGCGATGTGGTGGTGCGAATCCCGGCCCGTCCCAGCGCAGCTCGGCTCGGCTCGGCGGCCAGCCCGACGCGGCGTCCCCTTCCCTCCCCCTCACCCAGCCCCGCGTCTGCGTAAGTGTCGGATTTCCCGCGACCGCCGAGCTCATGACGGATGATGGGCCCATCAGTCACGCAGCCAATTACGACGGATTTATGAAACGGGCGTTGAGTACCTCCAACACCGCATGTCCCGGCTTTCCTCCGATCTGATAATACAAACAGCCGCGACCGGGGGCGGGTTCCTAGGGCGTGTACGTGATGAACGGGAACGTTGCGCTCAAGATACTGGGACACCAAAAACAGGACGGCACTTTTCCAGTCTGATACCAATCATTCAGAGAATGGTTTAGTCGTTCATCGTTAACACAAAACACGCCAATGCCCGACCCGGAACGGCAAACAGCTCAGAAAGCTACTCCATAGTTCGCTCAAGGGAAGTCATTCAGTATGTTACTGGAATTATTTGCATGCAAACAGCCGGTTTACATGCACGATGCAAATTATGGATGCCTCAGCGCCATCAACCACATGCAGCTACACATGCCATAGACTCACTGCATTATGCAACCCGGACAAGTACCGCTTTAATGCATCTGCAACGGTATCGACAGTTCGCCTGCGAAAAACATGGAGCAGGCGGGCGTAGACGAAACCACACCGTGTGAGGATGCCAGCTAACCGTCATGAACACACGAACGGCCATGTAGCGAGATGCTGCACAGGGCCGCATGCCAGTCAGCTCGTCATGCAAGGTTCATTGCCTGCAATGCATGCATGTCGGGAATACTGCGGGCGTCGTCTACCTGTGGCGAAAAAGGTGGCCCGACAGAGGTGCTGTCGTGGGGCTCGGGACCGCGCGGGTCTCATGGCGGTCCCCTGGAGTAGAGTCACTTACTGATGCCGAGAAGGGTGGCTTGGCAGAGGTACTGTCGTGAGATCCAGCACTGGGTTGACGGCCGGACCACAACGACGCCGCAGCCCAGGCAGCCCAGGGCCAGTGCCAGCCCCAGGAAAGTCTGCAGGAGGCCGAGAGAGCCGGCGTCCAGTCCCTCCTCTTCACACTGCACCATCTGAGGAGGCGGGCAGCGTCAGATGGTGTCCAGTCTCTCCTCCTCACACTGCACCATCTGAAGAGACAGGCGCCCCCAGGCGGTGTCCAGGTCCTCCTTCTTACAATACACCATCTGAGGAGACGGGAAGCGTCAGACGGCGTCCCGTCCCCCCTCTTAACACTGCTCCATCTGAGGAGACGGGAACCGTCAGACGGCGTCCCGTCCCTCCTCTTAACACTGCTCCATCTGAAGAGACGGGAACTGTCAGACGGCGTCCAGTCCCTCCTCTTAACACTGCTCCATCTGAGGAGACAGGAACCGTCATGCGGCGTCCCGTCCCTCCTCTTAACACTGCTCCATTTGAGGAGACGGGAACCGTCAGACAGTCTCCACATCCTCTTTACACTGCTCCATCTGAGGAGACAGGCACCGTCAGACGACACCCAGTCCCTCCTCTTTACACTGCACTATCTGATGAGACGGTCAGACGACGTCCAGTCCTTCCTTCCTGCACCATTCAAAGTGATTATTTGCTCTCCCTGACCCTGCTCTGCACATCAATGACGGGACCGCGGTTTTCGAGTTGAGAGCGGGGGGGAGGGGTATTTCCAGGGGGCCTCCTGGACAAAACGGGGCCTCTTTTCAGAATATTCCTCCCCTGGGAAGTGTCATACTCTAGGGGACGGGGAGGGGGTTCGCGTGGCCCTTTATCATGTTGATGCATACGTCAATACCAATCCTTCCAATGCCTGCCAATCCAGAACAAGATCATTACAAGTCACAAAGCGGACCTCCAGATCCCGCACAGGGCGCCATTGCCCCAAAGCAGGCCACACTGACCCGGAACTAGGGCCATGTTGTGCATAAGTGCGCCTCCGTCTCCAGAAAAGGGGTCTGTACCAAACACCACCTGTCAATTTCATAGAGGCATCTTATGACCCAGGGAAGGGCCTTCCGGGTCCGAGTCAGCACCTCCTAGCTCCGTTATGGGGGCGTCCTTGATATGAATTTTGGTAATTTATAAGAAGCAACAAACTCCCTGGTTTTGGGAAAGGCAGGCCTCTCAGAATTTAAAAGCGGAAAAACATAGTCTTGCCCCCTTCTGCTCCTCCCTGCTTCGCCACCTTTCTCTTTGGCCTCATTGCCTGAAGATAGACCAGATATATTGTTGTGTCATATCATCATCTAATCACATCTATATATGCCTGATTTGTAATTCTTTAAAATGCGGGGTATTTAATGGCACAGAAAAAACACTGTCATCGACGTATCCTTAAATCCAAACATGAATTAAACAGCACAAGGTATTTAATGAGGCCTATGAATTGCTAAATATCCATTGTCCATAACACTTCCACCAACGGAAAATACGTCGATTCCATTGCGTAAAGTTTATTATTGGGTTCAGTAAATACGTTGCTACATGTGATGTCAAACATGACGGGCATCATACCTATCCATCAATGGTCAAACTCTGTAGCTTCGCTGAATGCCATCGTAGCTCAGGAGACTGCCAAAAACCCCGCACTTGTAACTACCACTGCCTAGCTACACCAAGCAGCGGTGCGTCCGGCGTGGCTGCCCCCGAGGCAAGGCTGCCCCGGTGGCCGCCCCTCCTGTGCCACCCCGCCTGGCAGTGCCGTGGCGCAGCCCTCTCTGGCCTGCTCAAGACGGGTCACTTCAGCGGAACGGCAATTATTCATCGGCCGGAGACGCCGGCAGCCGGCGAGTTTAATGACCGAACGGCGTCGGTGGGTCGCCGTGCTCGAGGTGACATCCCGCCCGCGACCTGCACGTGCCGCCCGGCGCCCGCCCCGGCCGAGAAAACGGAAATCACAGCACTCCGGTCGGGCTGTCGGGACGCCGCCCAGACTGAAGAGAGCCTCTGTGAGGGCTGCTTGCGGGGGCACCTCTTGCCGTTCCGCACGATTGGTGTGAGGTCTCAGCGCCGATCTAAGTCCACGGTGCCCCGGTGTCGTTCATTGCGGTTCTCCGGACGTGCCCGGCGTGATACCCGCCTCTGGACGGGAATAGCACCTTCTCAGGGCGCTGCTGGCGCCAGATCGGCAGATTAACTCGTCAGGGTTGAGGCGACGGCGGCCCAAATAGAAGATGAAAGGTGCCCGGGAGCTCCTCGGATCGTGTAGACGAGAGCCGACACCTCGATCACGCGATCCTCGGACCGAGCGCTGAGAGGCGCACAGTCCGTCACACGCCTCCGCGAAGCCCCCGAGAGACGCCGGCTCTCAATGCAGCGCGACGCTCGGGCAGGCCGGCTCCCGCACGAGGCCGACGTTGGGCCGCTCTGGCAGCGTCCGGGCCCCGCTCCAGCCGGGCTCCTGCCCAGTCGGGGCCGCCCGGTGCGCCGGTGCAAGCGCACGCGGCCGGGGTCGCGTCGCGGCACCGGCCGCCGCGCGCCGCTGTGCGGTCGCCGCCAGGTGACGCGCGCCGAACCGGGAGGCTGCCGTGGCGCCGTGCTCTCCTCCCGCCCGGCTGACGCACACGCGTGGCGAGACCCACGCGGCCGGACAACGCCGCGACCCTGGCAGCGGTGACACGGCGCGGCGCCGCCGCTGGCTCGGCGGCCCGGCGCGTGGTGACAGCGCCGCAACTAAATCAGCGCAGGCCCGAGTTATGCGGCGGCATTCCTGCGCGCCGTCCGGCCCAGTGCCACACGCCTCTGGGACGACGCCGGCGGCGCTCCGGTCGGCGATAATGAGGTGCTGCCGGCGCGACTTTGAGTTCAATACCGGGCGGCACCAAAGCTCGTAACATCAACAGATACTACTGCACGACACGAAAGCTGGGCCGAGCCCAATTTAAAGCGCGAGTATCAGGCTGATGCCGCGTCGGAAAATTTCACTTCGGCCTGACTAGGGGCTAGGAGAGAAAATCGTTGGTTAAGCTGTATGGGTTCAAGCTGTCGGTGCAGTAAATCGTATATCCGGGTCACTCTCGTCGAGCTGGCGCCGTTAATCCTGCAAAGCTGGCCTGTCACTGGCAACAAATATAGCCGTGCCGCAATAAAGTCTCGTTTCCGGGTCATTTCCCATCTGTCGCTGAGCTAGGGAATTATTAAAAGGCCACGCGTTGCGTCAGGCTGGTCGCCTTCGAGATTTGCGAACATAATTATGCCACCATCCCTCGCTAATAGATTAATTCTGAAATATGCGAGGTCGGGAAAAACAACGGCAGAGGCAACAAAAATGCCGTAAAATCATTGATGCCCTTAAACCGGAGCAGCTGTCCCAGCTGGTGACAACATGTTCGACGGAAATCAGTAACGGGCGGCACGGAGCCGTTCATGAGTTATGCCACAGCTTATCGCCCCGTTGGTACAGCACAGCCTCAGCAATGGAGTGGATGGGACGCAGGCTTCGACACGCAGAGATTGGCAGGCACCCTAGGTTTGGGGGACAGCACAAGCGGGTTCGATTAGGGCCGATTGCAATGTTCTTTTCTCGGGACGCCATTGGGCTCATGACTTGGGCATCCGTCTCGGCTCATAAAAGCCGAGGATCGAGATAAAAGTCGAGGATTGGTCCCAGCCACGAGCTCGCAGTCTCTTGCTCCAAACGGCGCATCTCGTGCTCAGATCCACTGTCAGCGCGCTGCGTACGAGCCCGGCTTGGTAGTACGATCATCGCAGGTGCACGGCACGGCGGTGCTGGGCTGGACCGCCGTGGGCCCAGCTGAATACTATCTCCAAACTCTGCACAGTTTTGGTAGTATAATACGAGTGTTATAGATGCGCGCTTCGTCTCGAAGCTGCCCTGCATGTCATTATTTACGGTTACATGATAAAGCCGTCTGCATTTGGATGGGGCATGGCAGCGCGGCAGCGTGCCGTTTCACAGATACGAACCATGACACGATTGCCGACATTTCTACGCATGGCGCTAAGTTGTCAGCAGAAAGGCCTCTTTTACCTCCACCGATGCGGCTTCCGAGCGGCCATACAAAGCGACCATTCTGTGTGACCTCACCGGCAACATGACATCTGTGATTTCTGTGCAGTTTCGCTAGTCACGCATTCTGTGTGACATCGTCAGCGATGCGACTCCTGCGCGACTTTACCAACCAATGCGACTTTTGATAAACCCTACCATCTGTAGGCCACCAAGTCACATGACATGACATGACATGGCATGACAATGAGCATGACACGATATGCAGCCTGACCAAACTTAACCAGTTCGGGCAAATAACCAATATAATTGACGCGCCCTGAATTCACAAATACACGCCAGCCTAACCAGTAATGTGGCGAAGCGTAACACTGCCAAAACATGGCCTATGTATGACTTCACAAGCCAGGCGTCGCACAGTAACCCGTGCAGTCACGTGACCGCCTGTGTGACGTCACCGCCCACCCGACCCAAGCGTGCCGTCGCGGGTCGGCGACCCCCGGTGCACACGAGCGGCAGCACGAGTGGCGCCGTCTCACCAGCAGTATGACGGGAGTGTAGATGCCGAGGCCGCCGAGAGCGGCTGACATCACCAGCACCTGCACGGTTCGCGCTCGCAGCACACTCCAGTCCAGGTACGGGGGCTTCTCCTCCGGCTTCGGGTTCTTCATCTGAAACCAAGTCAGCCGGCTCTAAACGCACGCTATGCCGGCACATTGATTTCAGTCTCACAAGCGTGAGCATGAAACAGATTTGTCAGTGCAAAAAGAACCAGACACCCGCATCCGCTCCAGCAAGCAAAATCACAGTCGAGTCCAATTTCTAACATCCGGCAAACCTCAAGTGGGCGTCTGGATGACTACGCTCTGACACTGCTCGATAGACAAGCGGGCATACGCTGAGAGTGCCTCTTAAAGTTGTAAAAAGCACGCTTACACACACGCTGAAATCGTTAACGTGAGGTAGAACCTGCATAACGGGAAGGAGACAGTCGTAAAAATGTCCACAAGTAACGGCCGTCCTATGAATCAACCGCACAAAAACGTCTTCTCATTAGCTGTATCCCCAGCCCAGATGATTGATGTCGAGGCAAGGGCGGCTCGCACACCTTAAACTCCTTTTTCTCCTTGACTTTTCGTTTCTGGTTTTTTAGATGAAGTATCGCTCTCCTCTGCGGATGATAGAGCGACGCGGACCGATAGAAGATGCCGATGATGAACGTGCTGAAGACGATGCCGGTGATGACCTGCAGGCCCAGCCGCCAGCCCAGCCACCTGCCGTGACACAGCGTCCAATCACACCCCAGTACGCAGCTCAGCTGCGTTCCTGGCCATGGCTGGACCGAAGTCGGAGCTACCGGACATATGTACTTGTGCGTTGCACACAGTTCAGTTAAAATTTCACAAATTGTTGCGTTTTAGTGACTGCACTTCGTACCGTGCCAGAAAAATGACCTTTTGACTTTGCATGACCTCGGGCGTGATTTCTAGTCATTTGAAAGGGGCGCATTGGACACCACAGACATGAATGGTCACGTCATGCGATGTTAAATCACAATTAAAAACGCCGTTCAGATCACGAGCCTCGTTTCTGACCTCTGACCTGGGCATGCGCGGCCTTACCATAACCACCGTTTCTGACGCTCTGACCTGGGCATGCGCGGCCTTACCATCACCACCGGTTCTGACGCTCTGACCTGGGGCATGCGCGGCCTTACCATCACCACCGTTTCTGACGCTCTGACCTGGGGCATGCGCGGCCTTACCATAACCACCGTTTCTGACGCTCTGACCTGGGCATGCGCGGCCTTACCATCACCACCGTTTCTGACGCTCTGACCTGGGCATGCGCGGCCTTACCATCACCACCGTTTCTGACGCTCTGACCTGGGGATGCGCGGCCTTACCATAACCACCAGGCATGCTTGTGTTAACCTGGAGTCATTCGTGTGGGACCAGCTACTCGGCTCTTGACAGGGGGCCGAGTTGCATTCATTCGTGGAGCGAGACCATCGGCTTCCAGCGAGGTGAAAGCACACGAGACGGGCAGGTACTACAGCGCAGGGCAAAGCCACGTAAGCCATTTTTTTCGCGTGTGAAATGCCCGAGTCGCTGCGAAACAGTCCGTGCTTATCTCGTTCACTTTAAGTTCGTTCCCGATCGAAAGCTCCCCTTCCAAAATATCCCCAATTCGACTCCCTGTAGATTGTGAAGTACTTGGTTCCACATATGCCACGAATCGTAATATTCATGGGCATTGCTGCCATGTTGTCTGGTTAGTATACGGGTGGAATTCATCCTAGTATGAAGGTGCGCATCGCCAGTGTCAGGGCGTAACAAAACACACATTGATCGTAAGACCCATGGCTTGCTGTATTCCATGGACGATTACTTCTGCAGCGTACAATGTCCCGCCTTGAAATGGCTTTAGATCACTGCCGATGCGTCTAAAGACATAGGATTGCCTGAGGATAATAAGCATCTTATAAAGACGAAGCGACCTGGCAGACATCTCGGCAAAAAACTTGTTCCCGGGTCAGGCTACAGTCAAGAAAGGGCAATTTGTTGTGGTTTTATAATTGACCTATTAAAATGGGATCTTCCAAGGAGTTCGTGCAACATCATTTCAAGCAATTGCAGCTCCAAACAATATGTGTATTTGCTCGATGGTTTGGGATGGGCGCAAAAAGTAATGAATTGTGATGAGGGACGGCTCCCCGGGTATATATGATGTGTGTTAGGCCCGCCTGATCCGAAGGCTGCCTCAGGAGGGATTTGGTCGGGTATGAGTGGGTCGGTGGATTGGGGTCAACTGCCCGAACCACGGCGTCTCCATCGTTTGCCTTCAGCGTTGTGCTCACGTTGGAGAGTTTGTAAATGTGTGACAATATTTCCTGGCGCTAAAATGTGTGTTATTTATAAGAGCCAAGGCGTTATGCAAGTATTTGTTATTTCACGGCTGGGGTGAGTTTGTGAAGTCTGTGCGAATGGGTGCGAGAGCTGGGCGGAACACTCATAACCAAAATTGTTCACAGAACGTGCGCCACATTCGTAAATAACAAAACGTAAATCATAACCTCCAAAATTGTTGATATCTCAGGTCATGAACACTTTCTCCAATTGTGCCAAGACTGTCAGTGCCAATTGCTTGCCTTTGGGTACGCCGATGACTGAACTTTGTGGCATTTTCAGAAATCCAAGTTTTATTGATTCCGAAGTGCCGATGACAGCTAAAAATCGTAAGTTACCCTGACATATTATAACGTTTCTTCGGCCATTGACAGTATAAAACAAATGCTACCCTTACAAGTAAAATTTCAAAATGAAACTTATCTCACATATCTCACAACGTGCATCGAGTCGTGCTCCGTCGGCTAAATAATTGTTGCAGTTGTCTGACCGAAGGCAGATCGTCCAGTACAACAGGCAGCAAAGCACATCTTCGTAATGACGTACATGAAATCAAAAGCACGAAAATGAACACGCTCTAAAATTGAGCACGTAATTAAAGCATACCTTGCTCGAACAAAGACGGAAGGTATAAGACGAGATCATATTTTGAAACTTCGAGGCGTTAGTGAAAATCACTGAAACAGCACTCACCGACTGTTAATATCGCGTTGCATACATGCATGCATGCTACTAGCTAATGATTGAAATATTATGCAGATTACTGAGCCAAAAAACAGTGAACCGCTGGGAACTTGAGCTGGGACGCCAACCATTCTGTGATGTACATCACTGAGGACAAATACAGCCTAAAAGGAGGACGAGGAACTGAGTGCCAGCATCAGACGTTAAGGTCCAGCGTACCCGCCCACTGCGTCAGCACCCAATGCTGATGTAGCAGCCAGGTCCACGTACCCCAAGCTGTACCGGAGGATGGTGGAGACCAGCGTGAGCCCGATGCCGGCGCCAGACTGGACGATGATCTCCACAAACTCGCGGCGCCGTTTGAAGTACTGGCCGGTCATCAGGTCAGACGTCTCCCGCGTCAGACCCACGCCGATGCCCATCACGACGCCGTAACTGGAACACAGCGCCGCGGGCTCAGCATCACTGACCGGCGGTACAGTATCACCCACTGCCGGCACAGCGTCACCCACCACGGCCAGGGCCCCTCACCGCGAATCACCGCGTGTTACTACGGTCACCGGTTGAACGGGGCCGGACCATGCTTAGACACCATCGCGCCGTCGAGCCTAACCGCAGCCCTATCCTGCCCAGCCGGTTTAGAGCCGCCTGATCTACTTTTCAAACTGATCACAGCGACTAACCAAGCGCAACCGCGGTTTTTTTCGTCGCGTCTGTCTGTGTCCGTCGCCGGCAGCCATGACCGCCGGCAGTCATGAACGCTGGCAGCCATGACCGCCGGCAGTCATGACCGCTGGCAGCCATGATCGCTGGCAGCCATGATCGCTGGCAGCCATGACCGCTGGCAGCCACGACCGCCGGCAGCCATGACCGCTGGCAGCCATGACCGCTGGCTGTCTCGGCCACCGGCTGACCTGAGGAAGACCCGACCACTGGCAGCCTCAGCCACCGGCTGACCTGAGGAAGACTTGATGCAGCTGCTGCGCGAACGAGGTGAAGAGACAAGCGAGGGCGGCCACCAGCCCGCCCAGCACGGCTGTCAGGCGGGTAGACTTGCGGCGGCACAAGCCGACCACGGCCGGCGTCACCAGCAGGCTGACGCTCAGGTTCAGACTGCCCAGCCAGACTGCGGGGCAGGGGAGGTGGAGTCAGACAACGGGGACACGGGGGTCGGACCGACTAGCAACCCAGACCACTGTACGGGGTCGGACTGACTGGTCAGACTGCGGCGCACGGGAGACGGGGCCGGACTGGCCGGACTGCGGCGCGGGGGACACAGAGACAGACTGCCCAGCCAAATTGCAGTGCATCGGAGACGGGGTCGGACCGGCCAGACAGACTGCGGCACATGGGCGTTCAAGATCATCGTGACGGGCCAGACTGCAGCACACGGACGTGCAGAGTTAGACTACCCCACCAGGATGCAACACAAAGGGTGCGAAGTCAGACCGCCCCGCCAGACTGGAACAAGACGCGCATACAGCTTAGCATGACGACACCGTGTAACAGGTGTGTAACAGGGCATCAAACATTCACGCACATTGCACTAACAGGGATAAAGTGTCTCAGGGTACGTCCAACGCATCATAGTGTCAGACCACGCTGTCATGTGAGACGGGGAGCAGGATCACACAGAGTGACTTGGTGTTACAAACCACAGAGTTTTGAAGGAGCGGGTTTTCAGCTAGTCGGGAACGCTTTGTCTTAGTCGCACATGTTAAACGGCGGGATATGGCGTTGGCTGTAATGCCAGGCCGCCATCGCTGTTGGACGGCGGCTGCGGATGGGGAGGGGAGGCATGTTTCCTCCGAGCTGGACTATTGCCACTTAGATTTCAGTGATAACATGCAGGAAGCTGATGCGACCTATCGATCGGCATTAACTTGTGTTATCCTAAGGGACCAAAATAGCTCGAAACACCGTAATGACGCATCGCATTGTTAATGCGGACTTACAGGATCGTGAGAAGCGTCATGAAATCGCCCATATGCACGGAGAGGCCTGCCCAGAGACAGGCGGCAATACAGAGCCGTAGGGCCGGCACTGCAGCGGGCTCGCGGTCGGCAAGAAAGGTCACGCAGTTGGCGAAGGTCACAAACTTGCTTCTCAATCCTAGCAATGCCACTAAACAACTGAATCATACCATACTCTCAGAGCAATCATAGAGCGGTGTAGTTTCTGGATAACTGAACGTGTTCAAAATGTGGGACATCAACAACGAGGGTGTCGACAGTAGATGTTCAACAATACAGGTGTCGAAAAATGCTGCTCACGTGGGAGTCGATCTCGACACACTGTGCGGTTGAAAGCTGTCAAGTTTTTGATGTTCGCAGGCCCCCAGGAACATAGGCACTGTTATTGGCGTTCTGAATACGGCATTGAGGTCGAAGAAATGGGGGTTGAACAAAGCGGAGTCAAATATATGCCTGGTCCCCGAATAGCCCGCGTTAGACGTTTCCAAAACGAGTCCAGGCTGTGGGCGTGCCTTTGGAATGGCCCATACAGCTTGACGGATGTCTCGTAATTGCAAAATTATGCGGTCACAGTGTATCCGAGTCCTCGTCCGTTGATGTTGGTGATATACTGAGGATATAAAATGCAGACGATTCAGAAACGAGAACATTTTTGCAAAAATAAAGTGGCGCCGACCGACAATGGTGTCCAACTGTAATGCTGCAATATTTCACGCGATCACTTCAATCGCTTTCAACCGAACCACCCGCACGCTATAAGCCCTGCCGAAATACCATAAAAAGAAAGGAGGTCAGATCTGCACCGTGCGGCAAGAGGGGCCCATGCTGCATTGGCGGCGCTCTGCATATCAAGATGTGCGGCGGCAAGCGTGTCCTGATTGAACTCCTGATTCGTCTCCCGATTGGGCCCCTGATTTAACATTCAAAAACGCTTCGGTCGCCGATTCGGTCTCGTCACTTGCGCATAAGGACTCCGGGTGGTGCTTTTACTGCGCCTTGCGATTCCCTGAGCTCGGCGCACACGCTCACACGGCGCGCGCGCCCACACACGGGGGCGTAGTTTCGCCACATGAGTTAGGTGGCCAGCAGTGAAAATGACCCAGCCTTCCCCAAAACATCCCAAAAACGGGTTTATTCCGGACTGTGCTTATTGTTTCCCAAGTGTTGGGGGGGGGGGGGGAATGAAACTCCCCCAACTGAAAAAGAAACTACACCCCTGCCCAGACGAATGCCGTCGTGTGCATAGCGATCAAATTCCATCAGCCTATACCAGTGCTTCCCACGCACCTACCAAAGAGAGAATTCCCTAAATGAAGTCCGAGTACCAGCTACATTCTTCTGCTTTGCGGATTACTACCGCACTTGACGCTTCCTGGCCAATTGAATAGACTGGTCCATCGATAGCTCTACAACGCCCGAAACTCCGGCGAAGCGGACTTCCTTTCGACGGACGGGACGGAGAAGAACAGTAGGCAGTGCTGACTGGCGGTTGACAGAGATGCGGGCAGTGTTGGGCGACGGCAGCTCGGCGCCGACGCTGCTGACGGTAACAGCGCCGAGCTCCACGCCGGGCTCGGGATCAGGCTCCCGGCCTGGCGCCACCCTCCAGCCGTCCGCCGAGCGTAGCGTGACGTGGCGGGTGTTACGGAACCGGTCGGGTCCGCGTGCGAGTGTGGTCCGTCGAACCCGGCCCGGACTGACCCGGCCGCTGGGCCCTGAGGACCTCGACCGGCGGACGGGCCCTCACTGGACGGCACGCTCCCACGGACCGACTGATCCATGTGACGGACCACCGCCCGGTGAGTGATGCATGACGGCGGTTCGCACCGACGTGCGGGGACAACATCCAAACCCACATCCCATCAGCAGAATGACGGACGATCAAGACCAAAATGACTCCGCTAAAATCATGTAACTGAAGGAATTCGGACAAATATCTTAGCGCATCCCAAGACATCCCTTCGACATGCCTCTGTTAAGTGGTGGTTGTCATTTAAAACAACACAACTGCGCTGACCGTAAATGAGCGGTGGTCAAACGGGATTTTGAACGGCGCGCACTTCCGAACGTCTAAATCGAGTGGAACTGCCGGAACCTCAGAAAATCTGCACACCCTGTCGCGACTCTTTCAAGACTGCATGAGTTTGGAAGATCGATGTGGCGCAGGGAAGTGGAAACAAAGTGACATCTATCAGCGTCCTTTGGAGCCGTGGGCGCTGGTGAGTTACCGCCCGGCGCTTAACAGAGAGCTGGCTGCCGTTACTGGGCGTGACGCCGCGGCGGCCGACACGGTGTCGGCGCCTATGTACTGTCCAGACACACCCAGGGTGCCGCTGGTCGTCCCACGCTGGAGCCACGGGATGCTCGCAACGGCCTCAGCTCCGTCACGTAAACCAACGGCCTCAGCTCCGTCACGTAAACCAACGGCCTCAGCTCCGTCACGTAAACCAACGGCCTACCGCCTCTGATCGGATGAGTCCAGCAAACCTGCAGCAAGCTTCAAGGAGATAAAAGAAGTCTTCAAAGACGTGGCGTAAACGCTCCATGAGTGCATCGCGGTGTCTGCTCACTGTTAGCCCGTGAGATAGCTTGTGGGACCACACACACATCCGGGTATTGGCAGCAGTTTTGAGTCAGGCCGATACTCCACCATCTGCACGTGAACAGTTTCTTCATCAGGGCTGAGAGAGCAAGCCTATTGCAACGGTCGCTTGGCATCGGCACGGCGCACCCGCACCATCCTTTCTCTTGGGCTCGCACCATCGGCAGGCGTGCGCGGGTTTTTTTACGCACGTCCTTCATTAATCTCGCGGGTAATGGTGACAGATTAATCAAGGCGCGCCCAGCCCAACAAAAACCCACTGGCAATAACTCGGCGCTCATAAGCTCCACCGGGGACCCATGGGCGGCCTGGCGCGGAAGTCCCCGACACCCGCTGTTCCCATCACGCGTCGGCCGGTGACAACGAGCGGGCGCTGCAGAGGCGCGGGCGCCGGGCGGACCCAAGGCCCTGGAACAGGAGTGACACGGCCCGCCGAGACCGGTCTGTCCGGCGCCGCTCACCGGCCTCACGAGCCCGTCCCGGGCCGGCGTGCTGTAACCGAGAGCGGATTTGTGGCATTCTGGGATGTGGACTCGAGCGAGTGGATTCAGTTTATGATCTAATCAGACTCGGAATCGGGTTCAGCAACAACAAATCGTGGACTCGGATTCACATTAAGTCTCAAGACATCAGGACTCGGACAATAACATGGGCTACTTGGTTCCAGAAGCCTTGGTCTCTGGTCGAATCTTCTATTTGAATTCAATTTCCAGACATAGGTTGAGGAAAAATTGGGTAATATCATGTTTACACAGCTGAAAATTCATAGAAGCATCACCAATGTGAAATATTAAAAAGCTTGTGGGACTAAAACTTAACGCAAACACCGGGATCAAAAGTAAGCAAATCAAGCAAAAAGCGTCCCCACTGGTAGTCACACGTACACCTACTACCCAGCATCACATGCGACAAAACAGATCAATGTTGTGAAAACGATGATCAAATTCGGCATATGGGCGCACACGACAGAACTCGGCGTGCCTGCGGCCGGCGCCGTCAGAGCCGGCGGGCCGCGACCAGCCGGTGGCGCCGCCCAGCGGCGTCGTGGTGTGAATAAGAAAGAGCGCCGGGAGAGAGAAGGAGACCACGTGTCAGGACGGCGACGGTCTTTAACAGACATGGGTCAGACCCACAGCAGAAGGGCAGGAGTTTTCATTACGGCACCTTTTGAGTCGTGCTGGCTTGGGCGCGTCAGGTTTATCTCGGTTTGCTTTCGGTTGGATGCAGCTCAGTCCGCGACTTAATTTTCTGTTTTCTGTTGTTAATGTACGGTTCATTGCGTCGCTGGAATGGCGGGAGGGGCACTCGTAGTTACCTGTTCTTGGGTAACGGTAAAGAAAATAAACAAGGTTGGATAGGACAATTAGGTTTGGCTAAGGTACGCAAGATTCCAGTTTTCTAGGCAACTTATATTTTTATACGCTGTGAACGTGGCGTGAGCCTTCTTTTCATGGTATTAATATACCCCTCAACTTCGATACGCATTCCAGTGGTGACCCGGCGCGGCGGCACGTGAGGTGACGGTCCAGTCAAGGTATGATCAGAAGGGTCGAGATTCGTTTACCTTATTGCAATTACAAACCGATGAGATTTCAGAATCTGACAGCTTGACATGAAGCTACCGTTATCTTGAGCGATCCCGTGACAAGCTATTGCACTTTGACTCTTACGTTTTAAACTCAGACACGGACTCGGACTGAACATCGTACGACTCACACTCGGACGCGGGACGCATGAGCTCTGAAAATGATTGAACTCGCCCATAGATTCAAAAAAATGTGACAGATACGAACTAGGCTCTCGAGCCCGGCCCGAGGCTCGTAGCCAGGTCCTTGGACCCAGCCCAGACTCGTAGTCAGGTTACTGGTTTCGGCCCAGACTTGAAGTCAGTTTGCCGGACTCAGTCAGCTGCCTGACGCGGGCCGGCATCGGAGCCGTTTTTGCCGGCGGACCAGGAGAGCCGGCGGTGCACGTGCGGCCCGCTCCGGTGGCGACACCTGGTTTTTGCCGCTTGGTTGGCGGCTCGCCGCAGTCCAATTAGCGCGGTAATCGTGTTGGCATTAGGCGGAGCCCTACTGACAAAAAATGACGAGAGAGGGTGGCGAAGAGCGGTCGCGCTCAGCAGAAGTGCGGCGACGCCAGGTGCGTCATCACACAGAGTCCCAGCTGCCGTCGATTCATCACGCAGGCTCAGTACTGCTGAAGGATTAATCATAGAACACATTATTTATGGGTTGCTTAATGGGGGGATCTCCAAGGGCTTCTAGTTGCTGTTGCCATGTATGCGATCACGCTATCCGAATGTCGCCCAAGTCAGAGAGTAGGGAAACTGTCCATTACGTTTCAAGAAGTATTTCTTTGACGATATATGCAATCAGCTGCTAGATAAAGATGTTGGGATACGATCAGGTATGACCTGTGCATAACTAGACGCCAACTAAATACCCTGCTTAAGCATCTGACCTTAATAGAAATGTTGTTTGGTCCACGTATCTCAAGAGTGTTCTAACAGGATGCATCTAGGATCAGTGGTCAGTGACGACGATTCTACTGGATACAAAAATAGTTGCAAAGTTTATCGACGCTATCAGCATTTCCACATCCAGCTTCATTCTCAGAGTTGCACATTACCCGCTTGAACAGTGAGCCGACATCTATGTGTGCGGCATGAACGTTTGGAGCACGTTCTCGTCTTTACCCGGGACGACAAATAATTATCCGACCAGGGGTGGCCGGCTGGCCAGCCGCGAGCTATAATAATCAGTGGTGGCCGGCTGGCCAGCCGCGAGCTATCCTGATCAGTGGTGGCTGGCTGGCCAGCCGCGAGCTATCCTGATCAGGAGTGGCCGGCTGACCAGCGGGCGGGCTCTCCTGATCGGTGGTGGCCGGCTGGCCAGCCGGAGACGCCTCAGCAGGGTCGGTCGCCGCCGGACCGGGTACCCCGTCAGCTCCCAGCCCGGGCATCTCTCAAGGACCGGGCCGGCGCTCCGGTCAGCAGCTGTCGCTCCGGTCAGCAGCTGGCGCTCCGGTCAGCAGCTGTCCACACCTGACGAGGCGGACCTATTCATTTGTCATTGCCAGATGTATTGACGCACCAGCTGGACGCGTCTATCTAAAGCGGCGACCGGCACGCCCGTCCGGTAAAGCCCGCCACGAGCCGGCGCTCGATGCAGGGGCTGGCGCGCTCCCCGGCGGCTGTGATTGGTTGGCACCGGCTCGCCGGAGGGCCCGGATAGCTGGCCATCAGATCCAGCCTCTCACACGGTTCACCGAGTCATGATTGTGCTGGGCCTCGTTAACAAGCAGCGCGTCGGGACTTTGGAGCAGCCGACTGATCTCGATACCATTGCTGGGCTCATTAAAATCGGGGACGGAGTTTAACTGGCGCGTTGTTGACGACATGCTGACGCTGATAACAGACACGTGTGCTGCGGTCTGGGATAGAAGACTGAACCGCAGCGAAGTTCTCACATGAATAGGAGACGACGGAAACTCACTTATCTCTGCCCGTGACTTAAGTGCAACGTATAGCAAGCCAAGCAATTACTATGAATGAGAGAAAAGTACCCGATTTCGTATGAGTGCAACATCCACTTTGCAGCCCGCAGAGCCAACATCAGCAGCAGGAGGTAGCCTGCTTTTTCCTGCTGCTCTCAGCGCCGAGCCTCACGCCGGTGTACGCCCCGGCTGCAGCGTGCGCCACTTCCCGCCCGGCCCGGCGTCAGTGACCAATGACGGGTTCGTGACGACAGACCGAGCCGCAGATGGGAATCGACGATAGCCGGCGCCCCTGATGCGTGGTGGGCCGCGGCCCCGCCCCGCAGAGCTGACTCACCGACCCGGCTCCTCAAGCACGTCCCACGCCGCCGCCCGAGCCACGGGGAGCGGGCACGAGCAGCGACACGCGGAACGGACCGTGACCAGGCGTGTGCACAAAGAAACGGAGCGCGGCCGGGGTCAAGCGAAAACGGGCATCAGAGGAACACACGCGGGAACCGGACGTGACGCGGAACTGTAGGAATGAGGCATGACCAGCAGCACACAAGAGCGGTCATACCCTGACACTACAGGGGCGGAGCAGGAGCAACACAACAGAACACCATGAGCGGAGCAGGAGCCACAAAACAGAGCACCAGGAGCGGAGCAGGAGCCACGGAACAGAGCACCAGGAGCGGAGCAGAAGTCACAGAACAGAGCACCAGGAGCGGAGCAGGAGCCGCAGAATAAAGCACCAGGAGCGGAGTGGGAGCCACAGAACAGAGCACCAGGAGCGGAGCAGAAGCCACAGAACAGAGCACCAGGAACGGAGTAATAGCCACAGAACAGAGCACCAGGAGCGAACTGGGAGCCACAGAACACCACGCAACGAGACAGCGCCAAGGGACAAAATGTAACAGGACGACTCGGACATACAGGGACGGGGCGGGGTCAGAGGTCACGCCGGAGCGGCACAACGACCCGCTCACGTCCACGCCCCGACCGGCACCGATCAGAGAACCAAGCGGCGTCACTCACCGGCCTTCATGTAGCTTTCGCGGCCCCAGGCGGCCAGCACGTGCAGCAGCAGGACGCCGTAGCTGAGCTGGAAGCCAGCGATCACCAGGTGGACGAGGAAGGCGCAGCCGCACACCACCCAGCCCCAGCCACCCTCCGGGTAGTAGTGTTGCCGGATGGTCGACGTCTTGGGGTCGTGCCGCCGCAGCCCAGGGATGCGCTTGTGTAGGCTGTTCATCTCGCGCTCGTTTATTCCCTGCGGGTGGTGGAAAGGTGAGTGGTGCGGAGGGCTGGGGGACCGGCAGGGCTGTCAGAAGGGAAGGCAGACGGCTTAGAGAGGCTGGCTGGGCCTAACGTGGTGGTCTACCCCTGTTGACGGAACAGTCAGGACGGCCAGGCGTAGCAGGTGGCGTTCCCAACCGTTGTACGGTCCAACGCCGGGGTGGTGTCAACGGCCAAGCGCTATAGCCAAATAGTCAGGGCCGGTTTCTGCATAGGAGTTCATTTACTTCCCGCGGAGCTGGGAATGTGTCGACCATCACTTCTGTCCCCGTGAGTCATCCTACAATATGTGCTGCATACGATAACACGACAAATAACACATGCCGTCATAGTACGTCTGCATGCTTCGCTGCAGCTATATATCATGTAAGTTTGAATCATATTATTTACGTCAGATCCCGATGCACGCAACAAGGTTACGTGCTATTTGCTGTTGCATGCTTTCTTGTGTGGCCACACAGTTATAAGAGATATATTACGCTATTTATACAAAGCTTTCTGCTGTGGATGAAGGGCAACAAGTATGGCTAATCTACCATACTATTTACCTGGGTTAAAACATAGCTCGCCATTTGAATCTTGTTATGAGAGCTGTTTCATTAATATATGACAGGCTCTCAGATAATACGGGTGGCCGTCGCTAGTTGAAAAGGCAACGGAACCCCATGGCTTTATCAGGCACTTTCCTGCAATGGACTTTCCATTTGTGGTAAAATCTGCGACCAGGTGCAGGCGACGAGCGGAATATATTGTTTTATGCAATGTATTTCCGCTGGGTGTTTGCATACATAATAATTGGCTAGCCTGCAAGACAATATGCAGATTTGTTGCAGAAAGACGCCGCGATGCCTGCTGACACCCTAAACCCTCACGAAAGACCATCATGCATCACGGTCAGATAATGTAGGCATCAGTAGCAACGTAATTGATTAGTAATCGGAAAGTCAGTCAATTGATAGGTATATATGCCAGGCATGCATTTATGAACACTTTTATCTCGAAACATGTGCTCACGGGGATGCACGTGAGTTGGTTCCATATGCAGCTAAAGCCAAAGCCAAGCCAAGCCAGAGCCAAAGCCAGCTAGGTGCAGGACAGCACCTGGAACAAACACATGCACCGTCTCCCATAAGTTGGCTATCTCACAGGTGATCCCATGGTGATTCGTCAGTGGAGCTATGAGCTACCCCTCTATATAGCTGCTTGGCACCTGTCCCTAAAAGTGCATGGTTAAGCAGTACCACAGATTTATGGTTGAGAGCGCAAAAGTAGTCGTTTTGCCTTAACACAGAGCAGCTTGATGTTCCTCATGGTCCCCGGATGCCTTCTTCAAGTCCAGGAAAAGGTGTCGCACGCTCTGCCTCAGTCGTCGCATTTCAGCATGCCGATGGCAAAGTCGCCAAAGATCGTGCCCGACAAGGCAGCCATTAGACGGTGCTTGTCAGCCGGTATGCGGGAAAATCGGACGGGTGGGTCACGCCACTTCGGAGCCACCACGAGCGAGCGAAGCGCGCACGTTAAAACAAGCCGGTGTGCGATTGGCGGGTATGCAATATATATATATATTATATATATATATATTATATATATATATTATATATATAATATATATATATACCCCTGGGCTTGAAGCTGAAGGCGGGTCATTCCGTCCCACCCCGCGGTGATGACGGCAGTCAGCAGCGGCTGCAGGAGCTGAAGTCGGCGAGCCCAGCTCGTGACAGCGGCGGTGTGCGCGCTGGGGAGTCTGACGGCGGCGGCCCCCCGCGCGTCTGGCGCCCCCTGACCGGCGCGGCGGACGAGCCGGTACGGCAGTGATGGATGGGCCTCGGCCGGACCGCCGCCGCTGGCGGGGCCACACTGCCGGCAGCCGCAAAGGCCGCCGCCGCGACGCCAGTGCATGCCGGGCACGCGGCCCATGCAGCTGTCTCTCGAGCACGAACGGGGCACGATTAGCTATTCCATGAGCCAGCGAGCCTCTGCGATGTCAAGCTCGTCGACTGAGTAGGGAATCCCGACGGTTTAATAGAGGCCTCGGGTGCCAGCCAAGGGCTGGATAATTGTGCAATGTAAATCAGTACACAACATCAATAACACATATATGCTAATTTATTCGACATCTGCCTTAATGTGCTTCACCATAGGTTTATAGAAATAACACCGATAATGGGTGATTTTCTCAGAAGCTCAAGTGGAATCATCAAACTTAAAAAGTTGTTGCAGCTCGCACGTCACGTTGTTGATGCCTGCCAGTGGGGGGGAGGGGGGGGGGCGTCGTACTTTTCATGCAAAAACGGCCGTCATATCCTCGCAACGCAAATCACAAGACTGTGTGAAAAGCCAGTGGCGAGACTGCTGAGAAGTCCGGCCATGCGCCATCCGTCAGCGCTGAGTTAGGTGAAGTTAGCTTCTGTAACAGCCCATCCTGCCATCTTGGGCACCAATTAAGGCATGATAGCGCAATGAAGCATGCCATCAAAGCTTATGGAATACCAATCAATGTATTGGTACACGAAGACTGTGTGGCCTGGTAAGAACTGCGGCGTGGTTTAAGACAGAAGATTTGTCTACCATACCAGAAAATGCCATCAGTTCGTTCCGTTTGCCTTCCCGTTCTCTTCCTCTGCTTGCATATTTTACGCACCTCTCTCCTTGTCCCCCCCCCCTCTCTCTCTCTCTCTCTCTCTCTCCTTCCCGTGCCTCTCCCCTTTCTCTCTCTCATCCTCTCCTCTGTTCTCCTCCTCTCCCCTCTCACTCTCCCTATACTTCTCCGTCCCCTCCTCTCCATTCCTCTCCCTCGTTCCTATACCCTTCTATGCCGCTCCACCATCACTGACCTGGTAGGCTTCGAAGCCGACGCTGTCTTCGCTCGGCTCATCGTAACGTCCCCGCGGAGGTGTCCGGACCTCTGTAACGAGAGAGACGGCGTTCAGGGGCGGGCCGCACTCAGCGAGGAGGCCCCGAGGAGGATCTCAGCAGCTTCGACCTCGGGCCCCCGCCGTTGGCCTGGCGCGTCTGGTAGGACCGCACTCAGCGTGGAGGCCTCGAGGAGGCTCCCGCAGCTTCGACCTCGGGCCCCCCGCTGGCCTGACGCGTCTGGGTCGGACCGCTCTCAGTAGGAGGCCCCGAGCGATACTGACGGTCCCAGCCAGGATCGATGAGGTGCACTGACTCAACAGGTGTTCATTAAGCCATAGCATGAGTCAAGCGGCACTACGTGGACTTGCTTGAATCGGACCAGATCAGGCCTGCTCAGGCCGGATCAGGCCTGCTCAGACCAGATCAGGCCTGCTCAGGCCGGATCAGGCCTGCTCAGGCCGGATCAGGTCTTGCTCTCTTGCTCTCAGATCTCTCTTGATCAGTTCTAATCAGAACAGGGCAGGGCCAAAGTTAAGGATAAGTGGTCAGGGGTCAGGGGTCAGGAGTCAGTGTCCAGCTCCGCTAGGCTGTGATGGCTCGACTGGACGGATCCCACCCTGTCAGCATGGGTCAAAACGTGTGAGCATGGGCCAGGCCATATCAGCATAGGCTAGGGTGTTTATATGGGTAAGGTCAGGTCAGTGAGGATCAGATCGTGTCAGTGTGGGTCAGGCCGCGTGAGTATGGACGAGGCCGTGTCAGTAAGGGTTTGCCGTGTCAGTATGGGTAAAGCCATGCCAGTACGGGTTAGATCGTGTCGACGTCGGTCAGGCCCGTGTCAGTGCTAGTCAGGCTCCGTTAGGCACTAGAACTGGGATCTTGTAAAAGGCAAGTCCCCACCTCTTGACACAATCTTTCTGAAAGCATATGGCAGTCAAGTCAGTTTCCGACAGCGACTCGGTGCAGCCTCCATTACAAAGTGTCACCAACAGACTTTTCACTCTGCATCTCTTTCGCGAACGCGCCTCGAGTCATTTTGACTCTGTCTGGTCAAAATGCACTCGATTATTGATAATAAGCAAAAGATACAGCAGGTTTCAAATAGTGTTATTTTACCTCGATCTTGTTTTACTGTCTAGGTTCTGATGAAAGCCTTTAGCGTGTATTCGATGGCGCACCAGAGAATGATCTGTTCACGTGACGTCACGTGTAATCTTCGCCAGGCGCGTTCGCAGCGCAACCCGTTTTTTGTTTTTGTTTTTTGTCTGTATCTTCGTTAACTGTCGTGCCAATAACCGTGCAAAGACACAACATTCCGTTGTAGGGTACTTTGAGCGCTTCTACGGAAATTGATCTGCAAAATTGCTCTTTGCAACGTTTCTGGAACACCTTTACATCAGTCGTGGTCGGTCCCTGGGCAGGCAATATGATTTTGGGCATCAACTTGTTTATAATTGACTGTGTTGCGCCATTTCTGTCTCAACTCCCATCGAGTCACATCAAATATTCTGCTAGTCCTGTAAAGACTACGTGACGTCGCATCGAATCCTTGTCGTCCGGGTCGCCGCGAAACTCCAAACGGCGCAGAATCTATGGGGTAGTGACGTCACGAGTGACTGTGAGGTATAGATTTTGCGTCGTTCGGGCCGCTGCGAACACGCCCTTAGTGATTGCTGAGAAATAATTACTTTCCCGACAGGAGCACATCTGGCGCAGCATGAAGCTGGAGTCTGTGCACCTCTGGACGTCACGGTTCGGTGCAGGACAAGTGGCACCAAGTGTGTCAAGTCCACGAGCCCCGCGAGCGCCCGGCCCGCTCCAGTCGGGCCACGGGAGGCGGTGCATTTCACTGGCGACCGGAGCGATTTACGGCAGCTGACCGGCGCCTGACGCCGTGCGCTGATGAGATTTACAATGACAGCGGGACATGGGCTTGAGCCAAGGCGGTGATTGGTCGGTCGGTGGCGGTGTTTGACTCCAACCGTGGGATCGCATCTTATCACGCGGAACCCTGCGGCGTGACAACACGAGAATTTATGTCCGTGAATATAGATCCCTTCATCAGTGGATGTGTGATTATCAGGCAGCACGGCAAATCATGCCAGTGGCCCTGACCATACGGCATGGACACCGAACTGGGTCATGCTTTAACGGGACCGATTACACCACGACGGTGCAGAAGTCCATGAAATGCAAATGGACCGTTCCGGCAGTCCAAGAAGACGCATTTTTCATGGGGAAGCCTATTCTGAAACGGCGGCAACCTATGCATCGAAGACCAACGCGCTCTGCCATTTTCCTAGATTATTCACGACCCAAGAGATCATGAATATCAGCCCAAGCTCCGCGAAAGGGCTACCCAAGCTCCGCGAAAGGGCCCCAGCCAACGGCGGCGGAATGTCCGTCGGCAAAACTGGACCTGGCACAGCATAGCAAACTATTGCTCTCCATCTCGCAAGGAAGCCACGCCTTTTCTAAGTGATCACCAAAAACTGTTGTGGTTTCCCCATTAGACGCGGCGTTTAAGGTGGGCTGAGGAAGAGCTTGGTGCGGCTCCGCCTAACGTCGACATGCATGCAGGGGTGCCGGTAGGCGTTAACCACTGCGCGTCTGGGAAACCGGAGGTACGGGGTTCGGTTCCCCGCGGTGCCCGTCCTTCCTGCCAGGGTGAGAGGCAGGAGACGTCATAAAGCCTCAGCAGCTGAGTGCGTCGTAGAGCCCCAATGACGCACACAACGTCGGCGTGCATTTACTTGGACCGCATATTGACTATGGTGTGGCATTGAGAGAAACCATTTTCAACAGCGGCCCCGACTGGCCAGAGAGGTTCGTCGCCGTGGCTGATTGCCTTCCTTCCGCCCGTCCTGAGCTCGTTTCCGGGAGGCTCGGCTCTGGCTCTGGCTCTGGCTCTGGCTCTGGCTCTGGCTCTGGCTCTGACTCTGGCTCTGGCTCTGGCTCTGGCTCTGGCTCTGGCTCCGGCTCCGGCTCTGGTGCTGGCTCTGGTGCTGGCTCTGGCTCTGGCTCTGGCTCTGGCTCCGGCTCCGGCTCTGGTGCTGGCTCTGGCCCCGGCTCTGGCGCTGGCTCTGGCTCCAGCCCTGGCGCTGGCTCTGGCTCTGGGTCCGGCCCTGGCTCTGGCTCTGGCCCCGACACTGGCTCGGGTTTAGTCTGTGCTCGGGTCAGGCCGGTCCGATCGTGCCACACGCCACACCGCTGACGGCCGCCGCAGGAACGGACGGTCACGGCGCCGACGAGAGCCGGCCGGCGTGGTCTGAGGCGCCGCCAGCGCTCTCCGCTCCTGGGCTGTCGCCACGGTGACGCCTAACTCGGCCGGGGTCGCTGGCAGCAGAGGACACTAGAGCGGTGCCGCCGATGCCGCCGCGTCCCTGAGCCTCGGCGACGGCTCCTGTGGACGCCGGCCGGCAGCCGCCGGTGCCAGTGCCCCTCCCCGCAGAGGCGACAGGCGTCAGTGGGGCGTTCGGCGTGATCGGGCCGGCGCGCCCGACTGGTCCCGCCAGCGAGACCCGCTCCGCCCCGCCGCCGCATCTCCACGGCTGGCGCCGCTTCGCTGTGTTAACATGCGGAAACGTCACGCGACTGTGATCGATTCTGATTGATCCCAGCGGCTGACGTGACGGCATAGGCTCGTATCAGTGTGCTTTAACAAAATATGCAGACGCCGGCACCCCGGGCGTCTCGCGACACTACAAATACACGGGCTGTAGAGTCTGCCGGAGGACGCGCGTGATCGAAGTCAAACCACACTAAGTGCGTGCTTACCGTGTGCGAATCAGAGGCGTGGGATTGAACTTAAGCATCTTGGTGCCTCTAACCTGCACGACAGGAGGTTATCACAAACAACAGAGTTTGCCGTGGCACGTTTCCGTATAATTTATCGCCTGAGATGCAATACGACGAATCCATTGAGAACGTGTGTAAATTGGTGCTTAGAAATGTCTGTAAGATGACATTACTATCAGAGACATTCGAAAAAGCATTGCAGTGCTTCAGTGAGCATGGACAGGAAAACTGGAATCTCCCAAGAAATGGGGTCCTCAAAACGGAACAAACAAATACCATATGAAGCACTTATCTAGCACACAACCCCTATGGAGTTCTACCGCAAACCGGAAGTCCTTGCAAACACTGCAGAGGCTACATAAGGACATCTCCACCCGAGTGCCGCATAACTTTCCCAAGAATTCCGAAGGCAGCGGCTTTCACGGTGTCCACGATTCTCTCCGACCGCCTCGGCCAGGGGATACAGATAACGCAGTGACACAGTCCGTTAAACCTCCCCTCTCTGATTGTCATCAACTGCTAATCTCACCCGGCACCCAGCAAATTGGGTGACTGAGCGCTATTTGGGCAGAAGTATCATCCATCAGCACCACACAAGAGAGCCGGCGGCTCCGAAACTCCTCAACTTTGAACAACCTGGTAACATCCGGCCAGTGCAGTGTGTCCATCCGAGCCCACCGGCGTCGCCGGGCCGTCTCCGTCGTCAGCCTGGTCAGCCGTCACCCGCTACTGGCCCTCAGCCGGGGGTGCCGACTCGCTGCCCGCGCCCCGTCTCGCGGGCACCGCCCGGCCCGCCCGTCCCGTCCCGAGCACCGCCCGGCCCGTCCGTCCCGTCCCCGAGCACCGCCCCCGTCCGGCCCGCCCGTCCCGTCCCGCGGCACCGGCCCGTCCGTCCGTCCCGTCCCGCGGGCACCGCCCGGCCCGTCCGTCCCGTCCCGAGCACCGCCCGGCCCGTCCGTCCCGTCCCGCGAGCACCGGCCCGGCCCGCCCGTCCCGTCCCGCGAGCACCGGCCCGGCCCGCCGTCCCGTCCCGCGAGCACCGCCCGGCCCGCCCGTCCCGTCCCGCGGGCACCGCCCGGCCCGTCCGTCCCGTCCCGCGAGCACCGCCCGGCCCGTCCGTCCCGTCCCGCGAGCACCGCCCCCCGCCCGTCCCGTCCCGCGAGCACCGCCCGGCCCGTCCGCCGAGTCGGCGTGACGGCATCGGAGGAGCACTGACTCGGCAAATCAGCTCGAGGGTAATGGCGTGGTGCA